CAGTATCATCTTGTGGACGATTAAGTGATGAAGATGCTGTGAGGATTAAGGCAATCCTCCCTGCAATGATATTGCTCTAAAGCACCGTCAGTAACTGATAATGTATAGGGAATGTAATTCACCTCAGTTTGAGCAGCAAAAACCCATGAAATAGTGGGTTCGTGCTAGAGGCCGTGCTTACGGCGGCGGCAGTCGACTGGGTGGTGAACGTGGTGGAGTGGGCCCTCATCCAGCTATTGATCGGGATCGCGGCAGCGGGCTCAAGTTCTGTGCCTTCTATGAAGGCCGGGAGACCCATTTGTGCACCTAGGACAGAGCTGGTGTCAGGGTCGTCAAGCGCTGAAGTATACCGTAAGAACATTGCTACATGAGGGGGAAAGCGGCGGAGGCTTACTGAATCCGGCGTCGTCGCGCTTCTTCCTGTGCAGCGCGGGTCCTCGGGTGGGGACACTTGCGGAGGATGCGAATGATGGAGTGGAGGACGCAGAGGTAAGCCCGAGGAGTGCGGCGACGTCCTGCGTCGGCACAACAATGGGCGAAAGCGGCATAGCAGCGGCGGAAGAGATTGCGACGGAGGCGAGAAGCATCGAGCTTGTGGAAGTAAGGCGCATGACGGTTGCTGCTGCTGCTGGAGTGGTGATATGTTTGGGTGAGTCCGAGGGAGAACTGGAAATAATTCTATCATCTGAAGTGTACCGACTTATATAGACTCATGGTAGACAGGGGCCTTCACACTGCTAGACGATCGACGGATGAGAGGCGGATGGAGGCGCGGAGGCGGAAGGCGGGATGACGGGTTCGGGCGGAAAGGGGGTAACACAATCTCCGTCGCCGAGGCAGAGCCCCGTAGCTCAATGAGCGTAGACCAGCCGCAGTTAGAGACCGTGCTAGAAACACCATAGAGAAGAATATCGACAACAGTCAACCGATGAGGAGGTCGGGTGTTGCCGAAGGAGCAATCAACGCTACTGTATTTCTTGCCGCGTTCCCCGAGGACCACTTCGAAGTTCGCCTCGCCACAAACATTGTCTTGTCAGCTACCTCTCAAACAGCAATGTTCTCGGTGCATCCACCATGAATTATGCACCACCGCCGTCTATGGCGGATAATAAGAGACGCGGATGTCTTCATCAGGCCACTTTGCGGCTATGAGAAACTGGGGAAAGACCGCACTGAATCACTTAGGTGTGTCGTCGTACTAATGCATACTTGTATCCACATCAACAGCTCCTTATTATATTTCCGGAGCATCGGAGGAGTCTCGGCCCCGTTTGATCCCTTTGTTCGCCGCGTAGCCGCGCCATCGCTCACCCATGCATCTGTCTCCCTTTGTCTGTGGACTTTCAGGACTTCCATGCGGCAGATATGGATTGTGCGACCACAGGCCCGCATGACGGCTGTCCGCTTTGCATTGAGCGATGGGAATGCGCGCCACGAAAGGGTGGTCCGTCAGTCGACAACGCTGCAAGACCGGGAAGGTTGAGTGTGACGAACAACTCGCTCTGGCCGATTCCACCTATCGAGGAATGCGAGGGAACTCAAGGCCACTACGCTGGTGCGCAGGAACAAAGCTATCAACGGCCACTTGCTCGACCGCTCCTATCAGGTGGCCCAACATGTATATAAGGCGACGGATGGGAACCGCTCAGAGCCTCACCTCGCACCGGCGTTATCATCTCTCTCCAGGTATCGACTACTTCAATCGATAGTCCCCTGCATCTCCCGTATCAAGAAACAGCAATGAATCCCACTCCTCAGTCCGGTAAAGGCAGAGCGTCGGACGCACAAAAAGCTGCACGGACGCTGCCCGTACAAGGCAATACGACGCCGAAGAAGGCCAACGTCTCCCATGATGATACCGCACGGTATAGCATCCATTTTTCTGCTTTTTGCCTCTTTGCTGACCCGTCCGCCCTGTAGGCTCGTAACGTCGGGGAAGGGAACGACGCGCGGTTCCATCAGCGACAGGCCCAGCCCCTCGAAGGACAACAGGATGCATCCCTACGCACTTCTGGCGCACCAGCACCAGAAACTGCAAGAGGACTTTGCTAAAAACCTCCGCACACCAGGTCGACACGAAGCCGCTGAACGATGGGCCAACTTCTGCGCGGAGGATCATTCAAATTTGAATGCACGCCCCGACGTCATTGTTATACGTCGGGACGGAGCCCCTCCCACTATCATGCCATGGAACGAGGAACTAGCGAACGCAGCGGCGGCTTCCTCCAGCAACTCCCATACGAAACGTTCTGGCGATTCGGATAACCGGGCTGCGAAATCTACTGCTTCCTCCCGGACCGGCGGAGAGTCTCGCACCCAGGACAGGTCGCGCCCTGTGTAAGATGACCAGCTTCCAGCTACCACAACCGCTACAAGCGTGGAAGACTCCGGCTTCGTTTTCACGGCCTAGAGAGTTCAATTCCCTCGAAATCACCATTTAATTTCCCCAATTATATGCTCGACTAACGTAGTGCATGTACTCATTTCTTTGCTAATACTATGGCTTCGTGCCGGAAGTATTCCGTCGAGTTTTCCTGGGCTTCGGTGTTTTCGGATATAGCCGGACCGGTTGCCGAACAGAAACGCGCTCTGCTTGCAACTCGGTCTTCTCTAGTCTCGAAACCAGACGCTCTACCGGTACGACCACCTAAACGCAAACGAGCATCGAGTACCGTAGGTCGTATCCAAGAGTTATTCTTAGTAGACTTTGACAAAATATGTCGAATGTCACTCACAGTCAAGTCTTGTCACGTCAATGCCAGCTCGTTTGGTTCAGGTGGTCTACCGCTAGAACCATCCCACTTGACATTGATGTGACAAGACGTGCCGTTGACATTCGATTTCGTCATCGCTCGTCACCACAGAACGGCTGGTTTCGAGACTAGGTCTTCTCTTCTCTCAGAGTATGCACACCCATTGCACAGCTACTAAGGACCCTGGCACCCCTATACCGCACATCAGGCGCAAGGATAAGCGTTGTATCAAAGCTATACCCTGGTTGCTCTCATATATCTTCCGTGCGAAACCCGGTTCCGCGCCCACGCCCGCGTCAGAGCTAGCTCGAATACACCGCTCCGTCCTCCATCACACCCTATCTAGAGCTTGCAGAACAATATGGCCAAGTCCGGCATGCCTGATCCGTCTGGTTTCGGTTCTGGTTCCTGTTCTACCTCCGTCGATGCCCATGTCCAGGTCGCAGAGCAACTGATCGCAGAGCTGGATACTATGGCTCGAAGCACTCATATCGATGAACTACGCACCGCGATCAAGGATATGCAAGACATGGTTCTTGCAGCAAGAGTGCGTGTCTGGCCGAACCATGCCAAGTGCCTTACTCCGTCTCCAGACATTTATCGCTTTTCCAGGACGCGGCGAATCGCGCTAGCCAATGCCGCAAAGTTTGCATGCGGTGGTACGAGTTAATCAAGGCTGCGGTGATGTCGTGTCCTCCGGAGCCAAATCAAGAAATCATGGATTGTATCGCTCGTATCCACAAGTACGTTCTCTGATCTTGGCCGCATTCTCATTATACACGCTGACGCCCAGAATACGTGACCAGGGAGCTGCAGCAATCCCGGACAGATCTATGCAAGGTTGCAAGTCGTGAACCTAGCACAGGCCTAAGCTTGAGGCGGCTCACGAACTCAACCTCTGACGAATTCCTCATGTCTCGGACGGAGGAAAGGGTGGACTACTCGATCAAGCTCGCCCAGGTACGGTGTCCGACAGTTTCTTCGGTATCAGTATCTCATCTTACCCCTGCAGAAAGCCGAACTGTTCCCTCCAGAGTATTCGATGCCCGTTCCCAAGCTGGAACCCTGGAACTACCACCTCTCGAAAAACCCCGACCTTCTGATGCGATCCGCACTATGGTGGTTTGGGTAAAGCAGCGATTCCCTTCCCAGTCCACGAACGAACACCGTCATCACTTTACTGCTCCATCAATTTGCCGGCAGTGTGTCCTTATTTCCTAACCTTATCGCGGTTTATCCTTCGCGTGTGTTGCCACACACCCAAGCTAATCTCGAAGACTCATCAACATTGCTGGAATCTCACGCGTTCGTGATCTCGCTTAGACACTCCGGATGACATGTATCAACGACGTTGTATTGACGAGGGGCACTGACAGATTCATCATCACACACTGTACAGTGTAAACAAGCTCGCGTGGTCTAATTATATACCTGACTTGACTTTGTCACTTCTCTCTCTCGGTGAGAGCGCACCCCAGGTAGGTAGGTAGGTAGGTATATTTCCGGCGCGGTCCCAATAGCGCACGCCAATACGCGCGGCTTGGCGCACACAGTGCATCCACGGTTCCCGTGAGCTGTATAACAGCCGACACACCTCTTCAGCACCCAGCTACTTCAAAGCTATCAAGGATCGTGGCATTCCTACATTGCCCATCAACCCGAGCATGGGATAGCATTGCGTCAAAGCTATATCCTGTTTGCTCTCATATATCCGATGTTCTACTCCCGAGTCCACACACACGCCTGCTCTATATCGTCACACGCACACACACAAGAAAGACTTGACGAGGGCTCACACATACCCTCATCCAGAATCTGTTTGACAACATGGCGAACTCCGATATATCTGAACTGTCTGGTTCTGGTTCTGGCTTCAACAATTTCGCCGATGCGTTTGTTGAGGTCGCAGAGCAACTGATCGCAGAGCTCCATACTATGGCTCGAAGCACCAACGTTGACGAACTACGCGCGGTGATAAAGGATATGCAAGATATGGTACTTGCAGTAAAAGTCCGTCGTCGATCGGACCTTGCCATATCCAGTCATTCACCATTCACGCAGGATGCGACAAATTGCGCCAGCCGATGCCGCAAAGTCTGCATGCGCTGGTATGAATTGGTCAAGGCTGCGGTTAAGTCATGTCCCTCGGAGCCAAGCCAAGAAACCACGGACTGCATCGCTCGTCTCCACAAGTACGTCCACGATTCTCGCCCCACACCTATCATATATATATACCGACTAGCGAGAATACGTGAGCAGGGAGCTGCAACAATCAGGAACGGACATATGCAAGGTTGCAACGCGCCAACCTAGTACAGGGTTGAGCCTCAGGCGTCTCACGAACTCGACCTCGAATGAGTTTCTGTTGTCCCGCTCGGAGGAAAGGGTGGATTACTCGATTAAGCTCGCGCAGGTAAGGCACCAGTTAGTATTGATTGATCTTCGCTCTCCGGGATCACTCTGTTACTGCAGAAAGCGGGAATTATTCCTACGGAGTATACTATCCCTGACATTAAGCTAGAACCCTGGAACTACCACATCTCACAGAATCAACTGCTGATGGGATCTGCAACAATGTGGTTCGGGTAAAGCAGTTCGCCTCCCACTTTAGGGACGAGTCATCGCTCCACTGCTCGAGCGTCTTGAAAAATGTCCTCACATCCTGACCCTCCCCAAATTTTCCCGTTGTACATGTTGTGCTGCATACCCACTCTCGAACGCACTCATGAAATCTCGCGCGTTCGTGATCTCGCTTCAGGCGCCACGGAAATCGTGTATCAATAATGGATTGACGGGGAGCACTGACAGACTCATGATAATACACTGCACAACGTACACAAGCTCGCAGGGTCCGATTCGATACCTATACAAACAAGCGCCTGGATTCACGTCCTGACTTGACCTCGTCAACCTCCGCAAACAGCCAATTCAGAATTGCTGCCAAGCGAATACCTCCCATGGCGAGCAGGTGTTCGACAACATACTCCTTGGCAATGACACCGGCGTATTCGGGTGTGTCGAGCTCCAACCAGGGATAGGGCTTGCGCGGTCCCCCCACGAAGTGGCCATCCTCGTCGAACTGCGCCAGCTCCTCCTCTACAGATGAAGCGTGATGATGATCCTCAGGAGAGGTCGTATCCAGCAAGGGGTTAGCGAGGTACGGCGGCTCGTCCAGGGCCTTCGGCCAGACGATCTCGCAATTCAGTTTGTGGATTGGCGCGGCCCAGTGATAGGGACAGACGTTCGCATCGTCGGTCTCGTCACCCGGAGAAGACGTGCGAGAGCCCATAATGCCGTAGGCCCCGAACAGAGCGTGTTTCAGTTGCGACATCAGCGACGCAAGGAACCGGGAGGTTCCGGACTCTGCGTGAGTGATCCCAAGAGGGACGGACGCGGGGCAGGTGAGCCACTCTTCCACCTCATCGTGCCAGCGCCCGCCTTCGAGGAGGCCTTCGAACATCACACGTCTGATGTAAGGGTCGTAGATCGTCCCTCGAAGGGCGGCTTCGATTTGAGGAGACGGGAGTGGCCGAGTGTAGTTCCCGGGGATGGTACGGAGTGCCTTCGCGATCAATAAGCCATCCCACACCGAGTGAAGATCTATCAAGTCGTTTAGAGAGTCGAAGCGGGGTCATAAATATGACTTACTGCTTAACCTGCCATCGAAGAGAACCTTGTCGCTATTTCCACCCCGGTCGCGTCCAGTAAGGTGGAGAGGCATGTGCATATCGCCGACGAAGTGCACGAGGAATTTAAGCGCTTCTGCTGCCAAAGCGTCTCCGTCCTCCATATCCGCCGTAGCGCCATCGGCATAGTTCACGAGGATACCAGTGACGTTTCTGATGGCGCCCAACACGTTACCACCGCGCCGCCCAGCCCAGCCTTTCTCGCCGGGGAATTCGCACCGACTCGAAGGCCAGTCATCCTTGGCGCCGATGTAGTGCAGTGACGCGGACCAGCGGAAGCCGGGGGTGTTGCGGACGCGGTCTGCCCACGTCGCAATGCGCGCAAGGTGGCAGTTTCGGTTGTCGCCTTCGGGATCGAGGATCCAGCATAACGTCGGTAGCACGGAGGGATGCAAATGAATCTGAGCTATCGTAGCAACAATTTCATGGCCTGGGTACAGCTTCAGATGGCTCAGTACGTGATGAGGATTCGTGGTTTGCTCACCAGCTGCTCCCCATGCACCAACTGTGGGCAGGGCAGTCCAAGCAGCGATGACTCCTGCAATCCGAGCGACGTATCGTAGCCTCATAATTTCGCGTAGAGAGACAGCCTCAATCGAAGCTCCTTATATGCCAGGACCCCAGATAATAGCGGAGGATGTCGGATACGGATGCACTGATTTTTGGGCCTTTTGAGGCGCCACGTCGGATACACGTATGGGGACTGTGCACTGATCGGTGGTCGGGCCGGAGCACTAGGTCGAATACGCGGTGCACTGGTGGAACGGTGCAAAGCTCGAGGTCGGATACGAGACACCTGTGGCGGTGCACACCTTTTCGCCGGCCCGATGGTGGCTCTCTGTCCTTTGTGTCCTCGATGTGGACGCGCTAGACGTACATCACTTATATATCCCGTGTACCCGGTTCAATGAATCCAAGTGCGGCCGTTACCCCAACATGTTGGCCTCAAGTTTGTCCTCCGAGTCGAAAAACATCAACAGCTGGATAGAAAACAATCGCAAGTACCCAGGATGCCCCTGATTTTGTGTCTAGAGGTTCCTTCCTTCATCCAATCACTCCTTCCATCCCATAACCTACTTATCGCCGACCTCCTGGCCTTGGATCTCCCCGGGCTCAATGACACCGATTTGTGCATATGCCAAGCTCTTCCATCATATCCTCTCTGCTGCCTAGTGCTGTCGAGCGCGAGCCATGGGATGGCATCTTGCGGTTGTCGGCGACATTCGTGACGAAGGACTGGAAATTGATAGCGGTGGAGGCGGCGAAAGTGGTTGAGGCGGTCCGGCATTTACAACAGACCCGACGGCCAACGAGCAAAGACGACGACGAAGGTGATATCAGCAAGTAGTTACATAGTTTGCGTACTATAGAACGTACTGCTGCCAGCACTCCGTGTAACCTGAGGTCGGATACTGGTGCACGGCAAATGACCCTGCTCAGCTTGAGGTCGGATACGCGTGCACTGAAAGTTACCATATATGGATGTGGCCTGTGCACTGAAAAACGGCCTGTATCGGGTGGTTTTGTATCCGACCTCCCCTTCTACTTTCTAGGGTCCTTATATGCCTCGCGCGTTTCCAGGTGACACCGGCGGGTACAAGAGGGCTCCAAAGGGACAAAAGGACAATCAAGAACTGCTAAAGAAGGCGAAGGAGCGCGAGTCAGTACATCACGTGCTCACTCCTTTCAACACACCGGTCACCAGAGCGCACTCGTCTGTTTTCGACGTTCTCGGCAATCACAAGCATTAAGTTTCATCGGAACACCGACCTGGCTAATGCACGATGATCATTGCCTGACATACGCATTGTATTAACGACCGCACTACCTCAGGGACCAACCATCCGGCAGGTTGAATAGTTGGCCAAAATGGCTGCTTCTGCTGTGCACACGAGGCGAAAAGGCGGGGCAAAGCTTGATCATAAATACTATGCTGTCCCTCCAAGACCACGCACCGGCCTCACACCAGCACTATCATGGTCTTCAGAATACAGTACCGACGTCCGAATCATCATTCCCCGCCTACTGCCAGCGAGATCCGGCAGGTAGCTCGCGTCACTGTGGATATCTTCGCTTCGCATAACATCCCATGCTGCCTCTTCGGCGGCGCCGCGTGTGCGTTGTATGGTACCACGAGAACTCCAGGGGTAACACCGTTCAGATCAAGTCAAAACCGGGAAACATACGCTGACAGCCTGCCTTCAGGACGTCGATCTCGTAGTTTTCACCAAATCGCACACGCAAGAAGAGCTTAAGCGACTCTTGGAGAGCAAGAACTCGAGCTTCTACACCGTCGCAGCCAAGACGCCCGGGGCGACCTATCGCGTGCTGTGGTACCGCATCCCCGGCACGACGACCTTCGGCGGTCTCCCCAAACTCTGCAAAGTCGATATCCTCGTTCCGCCCACCCTCAACATCCCTTGGGTCCCGCCGGAGCGTATCGAGCGCATCGACGGGATCCCGGTGATGCCCATCCTCCCTTTACTGCTATTGAAGTTGCAGGGATGGGAGGATCACACCGAAGCCCACCAGACTCACCTCCGATTGAAGCAGACGGACGATGTGAGGGATATCAAAGAACTCAGGCGCATTGCCGCACGGAGGGGCATAGATTTGCAGACTACGAAGCCTGAGAGTTGGATGTCCTCGGCGCTCTTGGACCAAGCACGTGTCAGGCTTGGGAAGGTTGAAGCAGCGGAGACCGCCCTGGATAGTTTGAGCAGCATCTTCAACAATTCACTGACATTCTGAGGCTCAGCTCCGTAGCTACAGTATGTCAAACTTCTTGTATTCCGACCGTCCTACCCGCGACACACTACCAATACATACAACCATATATACCCTAACAAAAATTGATACATGTCCTGCTCGATGCTCACCGCGAGTCGAGGCTACACCCCCGCGAGACCATTCAACCCCACGGTAGTTTACACCATATACAGCCCAGCTGACCATATTTTCTTGGCTTGATCCCCGTGAGCATCAGGTCGAGGACGTCGATGAAGAACCTATGGTTCAGAAGTGGGCGACAGGGACGCTCTTGAGCGACGTTGCCAGTTAGGCAAGAGTCGTTCCCTCGGGAGCTGTCACGAGTGGGGACCTCGACGACCTTCTTGAACTTGACGGTAAAGGAATGAGAGAGGGGCCGTGTTGAGCTCAACACGTCTCCCGGGTCACGATGGCGGTCCGGATGGAGTCCAAGAGGATGTCGTTGTAATCTCCTCCAGCTTCCCACATGGCGAAGCCTAGAAGACCCTGCTCCGCAATGAATTGCCCCTTGGCGTCGAACGAGCGCGCGTCGTCGTACGATACTTGCACCCAGGACGCAGGCGAGTAGATGTACGGCTGCAACCCAACCCATCAATACGACGCAGATTGGAAGAAATCGTGAACCGGACGCACCGTCTGCGAGCAGTTATCGAACGTATACAACATTCCCTCCGCCGCCGTCCCGTTTCCATCCAACAGTCCGCCGGTGATCAACCCCCAAAAGTCCCATATTCCATCGACGGGTATACTCCCCCCGCACTGGTCCTCCCCGCCATCGTTCCCGTCCCACCCGTTACTATCCCCGCTCCCCATCTGGCTCGCCACGTCCTTGTCGAACGTCGGGCATCGCACGACGCCCTCCCCGGCGGACTTGGCCTGGGTGAGCTCGGCCGAGGTCGGTGTGACATTGTAGGACCGTCCGTAGGACGCGACGCCGAGCACGATCTGCTCCGCGGGGAACTGGGCACGCGTCCAGGCTGCGAGCGCGGAGACGGCCGAGCCTTGGCCGTCGGTGGTGCAGGTGTCGTTCAGCGGGGCGTTCGGACCGGGGCCGGCGTCGAGCCAGGTGCCCCAGACGTCGTAGTTCATGATTTCTGTGCGCATTGAGAGAGGGGGTACGTCAGCGCCATTGCAACGAGTGGAAGAACGGAAGAGTCCGAACGCTCACCGATGTAGTCCAGCACCTCGGCGAACTTCGATACATCGTCCATCGGGCTACCGTCCGACCCAGCGAAGGGCGTGAGGGAGACAGCGGCGCTGACGGTCATGTTGGCCGCCAACGGCGCCGTGCGCAGGAGGCGGAGCGTCGTGAGGAAGTTGCTCGCATCCGAGGACGAGACGGTGTTATCGCCTTCTCCTTGGCGGCCGGGGTACTGTGACATTATTATCAGCTTCGAAATTCGACACGGAGAAGGAAAGGACGAGGATTGCACTGGATATGGAGGATGGAACGCCATAAAAGGAGAGTGGATCCCCCCGAAAAGGGAAGGTTGCGCCATGGGGCGAAATGCCCGAAATAGCAACAAGTGAAACGCAATGAGGAAGTAGAAACCCGAGATTAAGGCTGGAGTATGCCAGCACCGGGGATCGGATGCTCATATCCGGGACAGGAAACCCATATGGTGCAACAAAATGGAAGAAAGAAGAAAGACACATGTAACGTACCTCCCAGTCGAAGTCAACGCCGTCCAGGTCGTACTCAGAGACGATCTCCAGAAGCTCTTGCACGAAGCGCGTCCGGTTCTGCGCGGAACCCATCGCGGTCGAGAAGAACTGTGATCCGCCCCAGCCGCCGAGGGATAGAATCGCTTTTACGCCCTGTGGAAGTAGAAAAGGGAGATAAGGTGACTTTGTGAGGGCGGAGAACCACGGAGGAGAGGACAGAACGTACACTCTTATGCGCTTCGGATACGAACGTTGGTAACAGCTTCGCGTCTGAGTCAGCGAGCGATAGCGGATCCCATGAGTTATCCGTCGTCGTTCTATAACCGCCGTCAGCTCATCGCTCGTCCACGAATAGCGAGGAAGGAGACTTACGCAAACGAGTACGTGACGTGCGTGTACTTGTCCCAGCTGACCTTGTCCGGCGGAAACTCGTCCGCGTGCCAGCCCGCATACCACGTCGAAAACACGCGGTCCTCCGCGCACACCCCGCCTCCTCCACTCCCGCTCCCCCCTCCATCTCCCCCACCCGACCCCGTTCCTCCACCTCCCGATCCGCCCCCTCCTGAGCCACCGCCACCGCCACCCGACCCCGAGGGCGAGGTCCCGCCGCCAGTCGAGAATACGGCCTGCGGAGATTTGAGGTTACAATACGCTCGAGCGTCGACCGACCCGAGCCGTCCACACAGGAGGAACAGGACCAGGGACGAAGGGAGCAGAAAGGAAGTCGTAGCGTGCATCGTGGCTTGATCCGTTGGTTTAGACTTCGTGTGTGGTAATACAGCACTGAAGCGCTCGGTAAAGGTGAACGTGAACGTGTAGGCGCGCGCTTGCGTCAAAAAGTCAAAACGTAAGGAAACGCTTGCCGCGCAGTAAGCGAGGATTGGCGACAGTAGAAGCGTATGGTAGTCCTGAAGGGACGGGGTGGGATGGGCTCGGGCGAGAAAGCAGAAAGCGAGGCAGAAACGGGATTGCCGCGAGGAAGAGGCGAGGGCTTTATGTACCGCAAGCCCACTGAGATGAAAGAACTCGGCGAGTATCAGATGGACGAGATGAAAGGGCTAGGTAAGCGCGTGACGGGGGCGTCTTGGGAGATGGGGGAACGTGCAAAGAGGCAGCCCTTGGAGTCGAGGATGGATTTGCGGCGTCTTCCTTGGAGCGAGCTTCTTCCGGAACATGCCTTGACGGGGTACGTTCCCCGGTGCGAGTTCATTGAACTCCATTGTTCCGAGGAACCGTCGAAGGGAGCTCGTCCGGTGTGACGACTCTCGAAGATAGGTTGGGTTGGCAATTCGCGTACTCATATCGCGTTCATTTCTCTGGTTGCTCCAGCAAAGTACTGGCGTGAACGTTGCGCAGCGGGTATATCGAGTAGCCCCCAATCCAATTCCCCATCAGCGCGGCGTAAATGAGCAATGAGGCAGCCACGTGCACGTGTCTAGTGCTGCTTGGCCAGATCGTGGGTAAACTGCTTCGTCATATATTCCGGTCTCGACTTCCGTGTTGGCCGGCTTGTCATCCAACGCCTACGAGCCCCTACCATCGCAATACTTGCACACGATCTATGGCCTGTGACTTGGAGCCCATACAGGGTGCTCTATACACTGCCCGAAAGCCTCGTCATTCAATATCGGCGCTGCAGACATCACCATCTGATTCACCCCACAGCCATGAACGCTCATGAACCCCTGGTTTGATCAGACTGGAGACCACCATTTCTTAGGCCGTTTGCATTCTCAAGCTGCGCATAATGTTCTCTCACCCTGGCTCCGGATGCATGAACCTCGACGGGATCTGTTGGCCGTTGAGTGGGAGGCTCCGTTCGACGTCGGAGTGCGCCCATGAATATGCTGCCTTCCATCAGATGCATACGGCGCGGCACTAGTGTTTGCTCAATGGCTCTATTACTGTCCCCGATCTCACCTCGGTCTCCTCACCACGATGTCCACCAGCAAGTATGACCTCATTACTGTACTCGCCATTGTGCTACTGCAGTACGTGAAGACGATCAACTGTTTCAACTATCATCATCCCTGATCTTCTAGCTTTTCGGGATAGCATCAGCCTAGCACTCTCGATCCCCTTACCTCCAGGTGATCCCGTCGATATATCTGGTGGATGTAATCCGTGAGCGCTCTGCACAAGGTTTATGTCTCCAGAGGAGAAGCTGATAAGGTCGCGGGTAGCGGGAGAAGAGGCTCTGGAGACCTCTTCGCGATCCGCGGGTGCCCACCACCACCTTGACGGTGCTGTCGTGCAGACGTTACCAGGACCAGAAGAATATGAGAAAATAGAGCACATAGAGTTGCGATCCACCTTCCCTTGAGAACATTCTCGATGTTGATATAATATGCTGCGTATCATGCCGCTTTACATGATACATCCACCGGACCTGACGAGATCTGAAGGAGGAACAGCTCCGAACAGACCCCTCATTTCGTTCAGCGCTGCACACGGACGAAGCAAACGCACCAGGCTGGCGCCAAAAGGAGATAGCGCCCATCCCATGGTAACGGGCTATGCATGCGAGCGCCTCATTACGATAATGTCTCTTACTCGATCTTGAATCCATCGCCACGACACGAACAGACGTCCCACGCGCCGAGGTTTCGTCCGCTGATATGGACACAGCCATCCTACTGCCACACAACAGCGGCCCATTCGCACGCGTGTCACAACGGTGCCAACCCTGGTAGTGAGAGTCATGCACCGGCTACCGGAGCTCATCTAGAAATTCGCATGCTCGTTTAAGAAGTGCGGATCCGCTCGGGATGCTCGCTCCAGACTCCCTCCATTGCCGTCCTATGCCGCTCTCGACCATCATGGTCACCTTCCGTTCCTTCCCTGCGTTGGCGCTGGCCATCGCATTGATCCAGTGAGTACAAGTTCAGCCCTTGCTCGTTGCATGCAGATGCCAATTATGCGCTAGAGCTGTGCTTGCCGTGGCAAGCCCAATACCTGGATTCGGAGGTTCTTGCAACCCGTGAGCCGGCCCAGGTGCGGTGTCGAATATGACTTACGATGCGCTGCTTTTCAGAGGCGATGTCAAACGAACGGATCACGGACATCTGGGAATGCGGGGTTGTGCACCACCTCCATGACCGCACAGCGGTTTCAAGTCCATGACACCGTGTTCTATCACCATTGCTTCTCATCGTTCGTCGGCCCGGTGTTGGCACCAAAGAATGCGGAGCAGTCACTTACCACACGCTTCCGTGCTCATCTGGCTTGTTTGAGTGTAACACGCAGAGGGGAAATCTATCGTTACATGGCATATATTGCCAGTGCCATTCTTTGAAATACAGTTACTCCATAGCACCGACGATATACGCGTTGTTTCAGCCGTGTCGGGCTCACTCACAGCACCGAGTGCACTCATCCATTCTACCCATTCAACCCGGAGAAACACCCCCTCGCGGAATATCCAGTGCAACTTTCGTTGAACTGGTATGACGCCCTGAACGCCGGCGAGAATATGCGGAATACTCATCTCCTCACATCGTCAGGACTACGAGTCTACGGGGGCGGTGATAACTCCTTTTATCCGTGATCGGACTCGGAGGGCTTTTTTCTTGCTCTGCACCGCCTTCGGCCTTCGAGTTCACTCTATCATCTTGAAACCTTCCATCCGGGTAAACGAGTACGACCGTCTATGCCGATCTCCCAACGGTTTCCCCGACGCCGTGCTGCATACAAGCAAGCTGCGACGAGTTGGCCGCTTCAAGTGTCTGCATAGGATCACCGGCGGGCCCGGGTTGAAACCGTCAACACCTGGCACATCTCTGCGGTCGTAGCTACCTCGGTAGAATGCGACGTATAGCATGTCCATACATCGGATGCTATCTTCCGCAATGGGTGTGGCACACTGCTTGCTCCGCTCCTGGGCATCGTATACGCTAGTGATGTACCGAAGCGTAAGTATAAGACTATCGGTGCGGACAAGGACGTCAATCACAAAGTCTCCCATCCTCAAACAAGCACAATGTTCAGGTCGCACTACTACGTAGCTCTTTCTCTTGCCCTCATCTTTCTCCAGTACGTCATTCTTTTCGTATTCTGTTGCCATCCGCGCTCACACACTGTGCTCGCTAGACTAATTGGACTCGAAGCCGCCGCGCTCGCTATCCCTAAACATTCGCACCACGGCCCGCTCAGAAACGTGCTATGCAACTCGTGAGCTTCTTGATATTTGTCCCCCGGATACTACGCTTCATGCTAACATGATTGTTCGTACAGCGGTAGAGCTATTTTCGAAGGGGTCTCGGTCACCGATCCGGGAGAGCTCAATGCTCGCGGATGCGTCGCACCACCGTAAACCAAACGTACTTACAGCCATGCAAAGTCGGACGTGATGTTCCAAGGAACAGCATTCAGAACCACATCCAGGCTTCTTTCACGGACCAATATTTATAACAATAACGTTATTAAATAGCTCAAGCATACCCTCTAGTAATAATTATAATATACTAGTTTCATATACAAACTGTCGATGCATCTGATACTTTCCTTTGGGAAATCAAAACTGCGAGATCCCGGACGTGTATATGGAACACAGCTTGCGTGGCACTCACTGATCTGGCTCGGGACCGCCGAGATGACGCATTGCTGGAACTAGCACCAATTGTATTGGAGTCGAGATTGGTGAGTCGTCCGAAGGCTACGCGGGCTCAGTTCATCCATTCATTCCCGCACGCCTTTGCCGACAGCGCTCAGCACAGCTGTCTGGGAACCTGGCTGGAGTTTCTGAGCAACAGCGACGCTGCCTCCACGTCCGAGCTTTATTCATCAGCGCAAGCTACGGACACAAACCATTGACAATACCTATCATCTCCATACGTGTCGGGTCTTGTTATTCAGCGAGGGCGACACGCCGATGGAATGCACTGCCCGCTGAGATACCACAGTATGCGTTTGCTAAGGTATAAAGCAACCGCACACCCGATGTTGTTCAGTCATCCGACCATCCACACAACCACTAACCAACCCTGATATCTTTCGGACGTGTTCATACCGTCTAGTCATATGCTCTTGATTGCCCTAATCACGCCGTCTCTCATATTGTCAGTGTTGCAATTCGCGGCTAATATATTAGACCTCGCTCATGTGCTGATTGATATACAGGAGCACACTGACGGTGTCCATCCCACTTCGGCGCTCTGATGCTGACATTGGTTCTGATGACGCGCCTTGTAACTCGTAAGTCGCCTTCATATTTTATCGGGCCATGCTGGTGCTCTAACCTTTTGACCATTTATCGTGACTTCAGAGGCAGATTGGCTCGGGATTACAGTACCACCGTAGTAAATACCTCACCAGTAACAGAAGGATGCATAGCACCTCCGAAGAGGGGCTCTTTGGCGGCTTGAGGAATAGACAAATCTGTGTGCAGTTTGATGTTATGATATGCTAGTCGTACATACAAGTCGCGTATACGCATTATACCTTTCCATGATTGAACCTCAGATTGCAAATCAGTCGATATGCATTTGAAACACAGCTTACTCATTCATCGTCCATTAATGGTGGGAGTTGTGTCTGTGAACATCACTGGGGACTGGGATGGAGGCGATTTATGTGGGAACTAATGTGGAGAATCCCTTCTCCTACGTGAACGCGCGCTCAATTTTTTTCCAGCGTAAGATTGTTAAGAGCGCTCGTCGCTTCCTCTTTGAAACGCTGTCTGACGTTGTTCGGCAGCCGCGGTGCGACCTTCTTATTGGACCACAACTATTGATCGCAGCCAACGGGTCCAAGCCAGGAATAGTACCTACCGTCCACATGTACATATGTCGGGACAGCGTGGGTATCTTGTCTTGTGTGTTGGAATATGAGAATTCAGTGCGCGTTCAGTGCTCACTATTATCTGATCGCTGTACACGTATATCTACTCGCGTTCGCATCCGATGTAGCCTCACGCGCTTGCCCAGCAATCTTACCCCTCGTATTGCAGACGGGTCAAGCGCGCTCCGCGCCCGACATGCCGCCCGACATTTAACATTGTGTTCGTGCTCTGCGAAGTCAATCGCGATATGCATATGCAACGACGCTGCCGCTGGTGGGGTCATAGTCGTGAGACTACTTCAGAGTTCCAATCTCACCGGCTAGGCGAATAATGTTGCAGGGAATGTGATTTCATATCTACAGGTTGTGCGACACCATGCCAATCATACACGTGTGAGTTATATCTTCTCAAGGACCTCCGCTCTTAAAAAATATGACGGCAGACGCCAACGCCATTGCCGTATCATGACTTCTGACACTGATTTTTGTGAGCTTTCCAATGATTCTTCTGGCACGAAGCATCGCAGTCTGTAGTAGGCCAGTGAGAAAGTCATCACGATATGTACATTGGTGATTTGCTGTGCTCACAACTGGTGTTACCACATCCGCCGCATTTTTTGAGCGCGGCGCTCGGATTTCCGCAGTAACTGCATCGATATAGTGACACCGAGTTGGTCGTCACCCTGCGAGGCGGTTCGCAAGGTTCGTGCACATGTGAGTGCGTGTCATCGTCGTCGCCCTCGTCGTCGACTTGTAGTTCGTTGAGCCACGACGCCAAGTCATTTGTCGCCTTTTCCGGATCAATGCTCTCCCGTTCGCGCGCGCCGGCATCCTTCTCCGAGACCTCGTCAAAGTGCCCCACGACTTCACCCCACTCCTTTTGGGCCGCAACATAGTCTTTGACCACCGTGGTGCGCGTGAGGCGCAACTGGGTGTTGAACAGCGGAGCCCCCAGGAACATAGCCACGTCCTCGCTGACACGCAGTTTATCGAATGCATCCTACCGATCCATTAGTTTGGTTTTAGGAGGCGCGGATATCACACTTACCCTCAAGTCTCCCAGGTCCGGGTTCACCTCCTTTCCCTTTATTGCGAGCGTCAGGACGATATACCAGTTGATCACGGTCTTCATGTTCCTTGCATCCGGCGGCGCTTCCGTCATATACACTTTGGCGTCCTCCCATGCGCTCATGAGGAAGGCGATCCCTTCCTCCCACTTGTGGCCATGTATGTGCGACTCCAAGAGCGCCGTGATCCCGAGATCGCCGGCGTGTTCGACGCTCCTATTTAGAAGTGCGGTTTTGACGAACGGCGTCAACCCCTTCTTGCAGCGCAGGCCCTTCTTAGCGTAGCGGAGGCCGACTTCGTGATCCGCGGTGAGGCTGACCACATAGTAGAAGTAAGCCACGTCCGGATTGCGGAGGATGGCGGTATGAGCTTTCGGAATCGCGTCGTGGACGCGTTGCCGCATGACGAGGAACTTGAGTTCGAGGATGTCCGCCATATACGCCTCGTCTGCCTTTCCCTTCTCCTTGATGACCTTGGCGGCGTGAGGCTTCAGGCGGAAGCGCGATGAGACGAGGCCGCGAGCGGAAGTGGCTAGTACATACCAAAGCTTCGGACCATAAGGTGAACGGAAGACCGACGCTTCCATCCTTCTCCCATTCGCCGGTGCTGGCATTCTGAGCTTCGAATCTCCCCTCAGCGACCGAGAACTCTGTCCGGGTGATGAATTCTGCCTAAGGATCGCGCACTGATGAGCGGATGTCGCACCGAATACAGAGTGATCATACCAGTGTCTTTCCGAGGTTGTAGAAGTCGTGAGTTTGAACGACGTTGATCATAGTGCGTTGAAACTCGTTCATGGTCTTGAGCATCACGAACACATCGCACCTCATCGGCCCGTAGTCCATCATCGCATCGTTGACGTGCGGAGGCCATTTGCCGGAGGACACAGCAGCCATGATCTTCTGAGGATCGTACTGGGTCCGATCATACTCATTCTTCTTGGCATGAAGGCGGAGCAGAGCTCCAAGGACCGAAGCTCTGATACTAAGATCGTCGCTCCGAAGGAACGCGACGAGGAACTTCGTAGCGGAGGGGTTCTTATCGTATTCCTGACGACAAAGATACATTCAAGATGAAGAGGGTTGCCGCACTATCGGTCTCACCTCCGGGCAGTTGTACGTGGCGCTTTCTACGAGGTGCAGCGCGTGACCGATCAGATATGCCGAGCCTCCGGGTTTCTTCGCGGATTCGAGCATGGTTTGTATTGTTTCAGTCAGATTGAAGTCTTTGAGCGCTTTAAGATCGGGCGACTTGTCTCCGTCATAGATCACGGCCGAGACGGCATGGCCGATGACCACGACGCTCAATTCTTGAGTCGTGTAGTCATCCGGCCGATCCTTCATGAGTTTGAGGAGTTTTCGTGTATAGCAGGCAATCTGAACTCGCGCGTCGACACCCGCATGATGGGTCATGGTCGCCAGCGACCGCAAGGCGAGATGCTAGTTCTGAGATATCGGCACTGCGGGTATTGGCCTAGTAATGACAACCCGACTAACCCGGCACGTTTCGGAGTCGAGGAGAGGCACGAGCTTGGACAGTACACCTAGAACATGTCAAGACGCGGAGCCGTAGACAAACTGGTATCAGAACGCAAGGCACGCACCTTTCTTGAACAGTTTGTCGCGAAGAAGAGCATCTGTGCACATCTTCGCAAAGATCCCAATGATACCGCCCATCACCATCTCGTTCTCTTGCTCCTGGAACATCTTGTATGCCGCATCTAGACGTTCGTATACCGAGTCGAAACGGGCGTGGATCTGCTTCAACCCCTTTCTCTTCGTCAATGTCGGGATCTCCAAGTACTCGCACAGAAGCGAGACAACGTCCTCCCAGTTCTCGCCAGCGTCGTCAATTTTTTGGGAGAACGCTTCCTGCGTCGCCGAGTTCGGAAAGGCTTTCGCTACTGGCTGGGACTGTGGCTTGTGAGATCGGCCTTGCTGACGCTTATGTTGATTTTTGTTCTTGGGAGCCATATTGATATATAGCCAAGGGTGAGCGCCAAAGTCCGACCCCAGTAGTGATCGCTATCAGGAGCCTAGCCGAAGTCCAGAAGACATACGATGGTAAACCGAAGAAACTGTGAAAATTCGACTCGCGTGAATGATATGACGTCAACAAACTGAACGCACTTCAGTCACTACCAAGGACAAAAGTGTACGGGAAATCATAGATCTCGAGCTGGTTTCGCGTTGTGGCTCGACTGCAGCCCCAAAGTAGGTATTCAGCGACCACAGTGCATGCGATCAAGGAAACAGGCGACGGCACTAGCGGGAGCGGTTGAGATATCGGGGGGACAAAACTTTGTTTCCGAGCCGCTCTCTTCGTGCGAGGACTCGAGCTCCATCTGGACGACCACTTCATCCGAAGATGTACACCATCCTGATCTCGTCCAATGGTTTTGAAATAGTCGATCGAAGTCTTCCAAACCCATAACGGCTTTATGCAACACGACGATCTTCGTTGTGTTAGCGGGGCAGGCGCAATGGCTCAAACAAGCGTAGGAATGGGCACACGCTATGTGAGGTTGGAAACTTAAGCTGCTGGTGATGCATATATTGATCGACAAAACGATTACATAGTTCACCGCAGAATCCAAACATTGCAGCGGAGGCGTAGGCGAACGCCGAAATCTGATCAGGCACTACGAACCGACCGTGGATGAGCGGCTTACGGTGCTGAATCGTACAGCAGCCCACGTGCTGTACACGACTTCTGTTCGATAAGCTTTAGTGGTGCGGGAATCTGGGACGCGCCGGGAAGGCCATTCTAGTAAGTACCACGTATCGCTAGAGCATCCGCAGGACTCACCGCTCGAACCCTTGCATTCCTTGGCGTGTCGAGGTCCCAGTACCACCGCGCCTTCACTTTCGAGCTCAGCTGGAGTTCGTGCTTAAGGATCCGGATGACCTCAATTTCGTCCTCCATAGTAAGTTCCTCGCGGTACACGTCGAAATTCGTATACAGCGCGATCATTGAGCTATAGCCAAAATGAAGCGGAACGGCATAGTGGAGAGATGTGCCACACGCGTCCATGAGGCTGTAAGTGATGAGCTCTGTGCAGGCATATACGTCCATGTTCGAGGCGTCTTTGGTTATAAATCCCTTGCCGATAGCATAGGCTCGCAGTCGACTGAACGGTACTCCAACTCCGTAGTGGAATAGCGGACAGTCCCCGGGCTTCACATCTTTGCTGACCATCCAGTCCGGAAGTCGCAAGAACGACCTGCGATGCTCTCGGACGAAGTCATAGTATTCCTTCTATACTCGCATGATGGTCAGGGCAAGACAAAAAACCACGAGAGATCAAATACCGGGTAGAGGGGATCGTTCTCGGACGGGTTCATTGCTGGGATCAGGTGCGCGAGAAGAGGTTGTGTCTCAAGTTCAAAAGGGATCTCACGTGTGCGTACAAGTCGCGACGTGAAAAGCCCACGCACCTCGTCAGACTCACAGCCTGACCGCAACTCTGTCTACACCTTCCGTCTGCAATTGTCTTCCTTGAACACGATGGCGGTTGCTGGAGATGCTGAAAGAATATGCAATGTAACCTTGTCTGTTATCTTTGCGAGAAGCACCAGTCATTCAACACGAAAAGTAGGCAACCTACCTCCAGTTTGCGGTCAAGCATCGGAGGGCCCTCATGCGCATTCCGCCTTGGATGTGCCGCAAGGGACTTCGCCAGAACGAGTGCCCGATGTTTCACTACGGTGTTGGCATTCCCGTCGAGCGGCTCAAAGCATACGGCATCAGGCATGGGTTTATCCCCCGCGACGAGGCACATATTTCCTTGGTTGTCATCAGCTCCCTGGACCTGATAGTCAAGGATATCGCGAAACGCTGCAACGCCAACCTGTATCGTGCTAAGGTCGCTCACTATAGCTATACCAATGCGGTGGCCCTCTACACGAACTTCGGCAAGTACTTGGACCATCGTTCGGAAGAGGAGGATGAGAGGGTCATCAGCTTCATCAAGGCCGAGCTTGAGCTCCCATCCGATTGTCGAGCCCTTTGGTACTGGGATACTCGTACTCCAAGAACAGTGACTGAAGAGACGGTGAGCTCTGAATTCCGTGCGAAAACCCTCGTTGATCTTGAACGTCTCTATTATAGGTCTCGATTCCCAAGGCCATCGAATTACGCATGCAGCGCTTGAAACTAGAAAACGGAGAACAAACCATGGAGTTTGAGTCCGTAGACGAGGAGATCATACAAAGGTACGCGTCCTTGGCACTTGGACCACCCCAAACCACCCGGGCATAGCTCTGGCAAGATCTCAGGCTCGCGTTCCTCGTATTTCGCCGTCTTCAGTGCTCTGTTCTGTCTGCTATCGACGATCGTGTTCCGTCTTCGCTCTCCTAATCATCCTTATGTATCAATGTGTTTCGATGCTACCGTGATACCAGTGAACCATGAATTGTGCTCACCGAACGCTGGCTAGTTAACGAAAGAACGGATAAAAGTAGTCGAATATTGAACGCTGTGTCGAAGGTCTAGGTTCGGATCTCCAGATCCAATCGGTGCAAAGCACTGATGATACCCCTCGCATCGCGAAGGCGCCCGGTGCGCCCACATGGTCTTTCTTATCATATTCTTGGCCTCCGGCCCGCCGTCGCTCACTTAAGCATCGCGTTCGCAAATCCGTCGCTTCACCTGCTCGTTATCCCTACGCAGTGTGAAGCGTACGTTGATTCATTCTCTCGTTAAGTTAATTGTTGCTCATTGTACCTCAGTAACTGTACTGCGTACATTCTAGGTACATGAATTGACCTGCTCGTTATCCCTACGCAGTGTGAAGCTAACTGTACTGCGTACATTCTAGCTCTTGCTTCCGCTCTGTCACTCGCCGCTCCGAAGCCTCGTTGAGAGGTTATGAGCCCTGCCTCGACCTCATCTTCCGCGTACGAACCTTTCTG